CAAAAATGTTTTTTAGATTTTAATATAGTTTCACAAAGTGAAGATTAAAGTGCTACAATTTTTAAAATTTAATTTTTTGTAATTACTATGACATATTAATTGTACAAATTAATGGGATTCACTGTCATGTTTCCAGACATCTTTTATTGATCAGGTCCATCCATCCTCCTTCTAACTGTCCCTTTCCCCACCCCAACATGTACTTTTCTCAGTCCTTAGTAATCCGTCTTCTTTCAGGTAATTTTTTTTCCTAATTTCCACATATGAGAGAGAACATGTGATTTGTCTTTCTGTGTCTGGCTTATTTAGCTATATCCCCATTCCTCCCATTCAATCCATTTATTTGCAAATGACAGGATTTCATTTTTCTTTATGGTTAAATAATATTTTTTTTGTGTATATATATATATACATACACACACACAAAGGAATATATGTGTGTGTGTATATATATATACACACACACACATACACTGTGTTTTCTTCATTTATTCATCTGTTAAACAGGCATCTAGGCTGGTTCCATATGTTGACTGTTGTGAATAGTACTGCAAAAAACATGGGCATGCGGGAATTTCTTTTGAATGCTGACTTCATTTCTTTTCGATATATACCCAAGAGTGGGATAGCTAGAGCATACGGTAGTTTTCATTTTAGTTTTTTGAGGAAACTGTGTCCTGTTTTCTATAGTAGTTGTCCTAATTTCCATTTCTACCAATCTGTATATTAGCATTCCATTTTCTACACATCCTTGCCAGCATTTAAAAAATTTTTGGTAATAGTCATTTTAAATGGCTAAGATGAAATTCCTTCCTTCCTTCCTTCCTTCCTTCCTTCCTTCCTTTCATTCTGGGGATGGAACCCAAGGCTTTGTGCATGCAAGGCAAGTACTCTACCAACTGAGCTATCTCCCCAGCCCTGATGGTATTGTATTTCCACTTCCCTGATGAGTAATATTATTGAGAATTTTTCATATATTTGTTAAACATTTTTCTTTTGAGAAGTGTCTATTCACATCATTTGCCCATTTTAATTAGATTACTTATTTTTTTGTTAAATTTTTAAAATTCTTTATATATTCTTGATATTAGTCCTCTATCAGAGGAATAACTATCAAACATTTTCTCTCATTCTGAAGGTTGTCTCTTCACTCCATTAATCATTTACTTTGCTATGCATTAGCTTTTTAGCTTGATGAACTTCTGTTTGTCAAGTTTTGCTGTTGTTCCTATGCTTTGAGAGACCTATCCAGAGAATCATTGTATATATATTTTTTTTTTTTTTTTTTGTACTGGGTTAGAACTAGTGGCGCTTTACCACTGAGCTATATCTGCTGTTTATGGATACCCAGTTTTCCCAGTATCATTGTTAAAGAGGCTGTCCTTTCTCTAGTTATGCATTTGGTCCTTTTGTTGAGGATCAGTTGGCTCTGGATGCATAGGTTCGTAAGTTTGTTCCAATGTTTTTTTTTTTTTAATGTCAATACCATATTTTTTTATTACTGGTTCTGTAGTTTATCTAGAAATCAGGTATTATTATGCCTCTAGCTTTGCTCTTTTTGTTTAAGGAAGCTTTGTTTATTTAGTTTTTTTTCTGTGCTTCATATGAATTTTAGGATTGTTTATTCTAGTTTTATGAAAAATGTGATTGATATTTAGATGGAGGTTGCACCGAATCTGTAGATCTCTTTGGGTCATAGGTAATTTTGGTTGTGGGCTTGTTGTACATAGCCTTTATTATGTTGAGGTTTGATCCTTCTGTATCTAATTTGTTTAGAGCTATTGCCATGAGTGGGTATTGAATTTTATCAAATATACTTTCTGTGTTTGAGATGATTTTGAAATGAATATGTGATTTTTCTTATCATTCATTTTATTTTTGTGATATATTATTTTATTGATTTGCATATGTTGAAAACCATCCTTATATCCCTAGAATAATAACAACTTTATCGTGATTATATGATCTTTTTGATAGGCTGCTGAATTTGATTTGCAAGTATTTTATTGAGGATTTTTACATCTGTATTCATTAAGGGATATTGGTCTTCAAGTTTTCTTTTTTTGGTGTGTTCTCATCAGGTTTTGTTAACAGAGTAATCAAGACTTCTTTACAAAGCTTATCTTGAGCTTTTCATGAGATTTTTAAAATTAATTTATTTATTCTAATTTGTTATATATGACAGCAGAATGCATTTCAATTCATATTACACATATAGAGCACAATTTTTCATTTCTCTGGTTGTACACAAAGTAGAGTCACACCATTCGTGTCTTCATACATGTACTTAGGATAATGATGTCCATTTCATTCCACCATTTTTCATGAGATTGAAGATAGTATTTTATTGGAATGACTATAGGCATACAAATTCAAGTTTTTGTAAGTACTCACGCCTGACTAAAATTGCGTGTGCAGCGTATTTTCTAGAGAGAGAGGCTGGAAATGATTTGATCAGAATGCCAGTACTCAGTAGATAAATAACTTTCTTCTCTGAGCCTTGAGTTCTTTGCCTGAAAAAAATTTTTTCCTTTCTCTTTACTTTTCTTTTTATTCACAATAAAAGGAGATAACACACTTGAAAAGCACATTTATTTCTTGATTTCTGTTTCTGTGTGTTTTGCTGGGGCTTAAATCCAGGGCCTCCAGCATGCTAGGCAAGTGCTCTACCACTGAGTTTCACCTCCAGCCCGGCTTGATTTCTTAAGGACAGGGTCCTGCTTTGTTGTAAGTGCCCATCCTTTCATAACTAAATGCATAGTTTATTGACTCTGGTTTTGGAAGGACAGAATCTTTGCTAACTCAGTTGTGTTATGTATAAAGCTTGTACTTACAGAGAAAGTTGAAGTTGTGGTGACATAGTAGATATATTAATCATTCAGTAACTGCTTAAATGAAATTAGTTATCTGTCCCATCTCATTTATTTAAAGGGAACTCAACCTACTTTTAGGAGTTCAATAAAATGATGTCTATTTTAGCTCTTGTTGATCTGACTTAAAACTCTCTTTTGAAATCATTTTCATTAGTTAAAATATATATTTCAGGTATTTAAATTAATGGGGCTGAAAACAATGTTGTCACTTTAATTCCCATTATATATAAATGCGTATACTGTTGCTGCTACTAAGCATAAGCATGGCTTTTATTTGAGTGCTTACTATCAAACCTTTTTCTAACCTTTACTTCAAATGATGTCTTACACTGCAGGATTTAAAAGATGAAATGCTTTGGTTTTAAATTATTTGGTGAAAGTAGAGGTCTAGAGTTAGGGCCCTTCCTTCTTGGTCCTCTCTTAGGCTGCTTCCATGATTCTAAGCCCTTTCTGAGGTAGAAAGGAAGGCACTGAGGCTAGAATGGTTAAAGAAAATGATTAACAGCACAGAGTAGTTAGACAGCCCAGTCTTTACTCCTTCCTTCCATAGTGTATCTGTTACTACTGCAGTGATAGTTGCTATGTTAGGAATATATTCTCATTGTTTCATAAATGTAATAAAATTGTTTACAAGTCCAGTAAGAAATCTCAATATACTTTATCATCATACTAAATGATATTTGAAATTAATAATTTTATTTTTTCTAGACTCATTTTATTAGTGCTGCATTAAAGACTAATAGTTTTCAGCCTGGTAGCATGCTTCCTTCCAGAGCAGTGGAAAAGTATTCTGTAAAACCAGAACATCCTCATCTTGGTAGCAGCAATATGTCTTCACATCACACATATACTTCCAAACAAGGTAAAAATATTTAATTTCTTATGGACTAAAAATGTAAGGATTTTCTTTGCGCTATATGAACTGAAAACTTATTTACTAAGTGGCAAGATTCTTACAAAATTTCTGAGTCTTTGTTTTATAAAATTTTTTTTATAGATTAAGTAAATTTTAAATTATTTTTCAACTTGTTCAAATTATGAATCAAGTCCTAATTTATGGTTTTAAGTAATAGCCTTTATAATTTATCAGAAACCCTTAGAAATTTGGAAAAATTTATTTACCAATAAAATTCTCCAATTTCTCTGACAAACTGCATATTTACTGTTTTTCTTGATTGTGTCAGGAAAAAAACAACTGAGTTAAAATTATAAGCTATTGTAATCCCCTCTTATTTGTAGTTTTGCTTGTTGAGGTTTAAAATTGTCCATGGTTACCTGTGGCCTAAAAATATTAAATGGAAAATTCTAGAAATAAAACAATTACAAATTTTAAATTGCATGCTGTTTTGAGTAGCATGATGAAATCTCATATTGTCTGGCTTATTAGTTTTGCCAGCACATGTGTATGATCCCTTTGTCCAGTGTATCCACACTGTACTGTTTGTGTGTACAGGTAAAAGATAATACATTATCTTTAGTTTCAGGCATTCATTAGGGTCTTGGAACATATCTCCCCAAGAGTAGGGGAGACTACTATATTTCTAAATATTTTCAGTTTGACTAATAAAAATCTGTTTATAGAATTTAAAAAATATAATAACAAAGAAATACACAGCTAATTTCTTAAACTTTTGGAATTTAAAATAAATGAACAGATATTTTTCCAAATTATTGATGTTTTAATAACATTAATGAAAATCAAAGGTCTCTTCATTTAATGATGGTACAGGTCTGTGTATTTCTCATATTTTATTTGTTACAACATTGTTGTATCACAGTCATTAAACACTTCTTTTACTTATAAGGTACGTTTATTTTGCAAATGAGCAGTCCTTACAACACTGTTGTGAAGTAGTCTGAGTCAATTTTTAAGTTGCAAAAAGGAATATGAAATACAGAAAGGTTATGACTGGACTGTTTAAGGTTACTACATTGAGAGTTAGGGCATGAGAGCAAGGTCAAGAGCTCTGATTTCAGTGTGACCGAGCCTTGATCCTTCTACATAAGGGAACACTTTTCCCCCTAGTATATTTACTCAATTCCACAGAATAATTTTGTTTTTGTAGACTTAAGCTGTAAAGAAAAAAAAAATGACTGTTTTATCGATTGCATACTTAAATTATTTCAGTGTTTATATTAATTATGATAACAGAAATAAAAGAAAAACTTAGTTTAATTCAACAAATTCAACAATTAGCCCTTCGAGGTGACACACACCTATAATCCCAGTGGCTAAGGAGGCTGAGGCAGGAGGTTGAAAGTTCAAAGTCAGCCTCAGCAAGAGTGAGGTGCTAGGCAACTCAGTGAGACCCTGTCTCTAAATAAAATACAGAACAGGGCTGGGGATGTGGCTTAGTGGTTGAGTGCCCCTGAGTTCAACCCCTTGTATCCGTCTCCCCCCAAATTCAACAAATTAAACTTTTTATTTTTCTGTGTTTTTTAATGAGTATGTGTCACTTTTAGATTTTTTTTTTTTTTGAGAGAGAGAGAGAGAGAAGTATATTTATTTTTTAGTTTTTGGCGGACACAACATCTTTGTTTGTATGTAGTGCTGAGGATCGAACCCGGGCCGCACGCATGCCAGGTGAGCGCGCTACCGCTTGAGCCACATCCCTAGACCTACTTTTAGATAGTTTTAATTGTAGCACAAATACAGTTTTGTATTTTTTCTTTCCAAAATAGGATGGGTAATGTGCTGACATTATAACAAGTTTGTAGAGAGGCACATCTGATACAACAGTGTGAATACACAGTCATCACACCTATGACCTGAAAAGGATCTGTATTTCTTTTTTATTAACATATTGAAAGCATTTCCTATGTTTCATATAATTATTTTCACCAGTTTAATTTTTTCTTTTTTCAGTGTTGGGGATTGAACCCAGTACTTCATGCACACAGTCAAGCATTCTACCATTGAGCCACACCCACACCCTATAATTTTAAAATTTAATAACTAAAAGTCTGTTGACCTGACTGTTACCTTGAGGTTGGACACTTAGGTAGGTTTTAGGGGGTTTTTTTTCTTGATAAATAATACAGTAATGAATATCATCACATATTTAACACTTTTTAAAGTTTTTTTTCCTTATGATAAATTCCCAAGGGTAATGTTATTTAGGTGGTATATTGCTACATGGTTTATCAATTTTCATTACCATGAAAAATGTCTAGATATACCATTTTCACCACAACTTTAATAGTACTGAATGTTGCCAGGCCCACCAGCCTCAGCAATGGCGAGGCACTTAGCAACTCAGTGAGCCCCTGTCTCTAAATAAAATACAAAATAGGGCTAGGGATGTGGTTCAGTGGTTGAGTGCCCCTGAGTTCAATCCCCAGTACCACACACAAAAAAATGTTATTATATTGATTTGTGTTTATTGCTTTAGTGAAAAATATTTAGTCTATTTCTTTTGACTTCTAGTTAAGAATGAAGTTATTTTTCTACTTATTTGTTAATAATTTATGTATTTATCAATCCTGTGTACTTTTGGTTTTATTTTTAATGTACAGGAAAGAATAATACTCTCTAATTTTTAAATTTTAACAAGCAAGTTAAATTTCTTATTTATTTTCTATTAAAACACCTTTAATAGAGTTTGAAGATATGGATTTTAATGAACAAAAATCTCCTTTGGAGACACCAGCACCTCGCAGGTTTGCTCCTGTACCTGTTTCAAGAGATGATGAAATGTCAAAGAAGGAAAATCCCATAGAAGAAAAAGAAAACATGGAAATGTTAGGTCAGAGAGGTAAGAAACAATTATAGACATACCTGCCTTGACTAGACCTATTTCAGATTAGGAAATTGTCCTGAAATTTTGTCACTCATGATTTGGAATTCTCTGTGTGCCCTGTAACTAGACTGATATCTCTATTTTCACTACTTTTCTGTAAATGATATTTATGGGACAAATAAGTCTTCTTTAGATTATATGTAGGAGTTGAAGGTATACATTTATAGTTATTTTTACTATCTCCTACAGGTTATTACTTAAGCTTTTATTACTATAAAAATAATGCCTGTTGAAGGTAAGACTGATCATTTTTAGAATGTGTTTCCTTATATTGTTTTTAGGTGTGAATTTCAATAATAAAACTCAGGGAAGTTAACATTCACCATGTTTCGCTGGAAAAAGTGCTAATATATGAACTATTTTACTAGAAAACAAGAACTTTTATATGTGACCTGAAATAATAGTGTGCTACAGAGCCTTAAAATGTAGCCCTTCTAGTAAAAGTAAGGAAAATATTAAGCTGTAGGTTTTTATTCTTAGATTCCTTTAAATGCATTCAAGTCTTACCTTAGGCAAATTTCAAGAATTTAGAAGATAATATTTATTAAAGAAACCAATTTTACGAAAAGTAATTTCTTATGTAGTCTCACTAAAAACAATTCCAGGAAGATCCAAGTAATTGTGAGGAAACAAACCTCCTTTTTACTGATTTACAAAATAGTTCAATTTCTGGAGTTTTGTGATAATGATAGTTCCCTCTGTGACAGAGACAAATTTAGTCTTTTTGCCTAATATAATTCATGTTTTTACCAGAGTGGTTTATATGAGGTATAAATATTTAGTGTTACTTGGTGAGTGTATTTATAGTCTACTCTTTTGTCTTAATCTGTTTTATGTTGCTATAATGAATTCCTATAGGTTGAGTAATTTGTAAAGAAAAGAAGTTTATTTAGCTCATGATTCTGAAAGTCCAAGAGCATGGTGACTTATATGGGATTTGCCTCTGGTGAGAGCCTGCTGGTTCTTGACATGGTGGAGGGCATCGCATGGCACAAAAGGAAGCTAGTCAGAGAGAGCTTGGTTTTATAATGAACCCACTCCCTTGAAAAACCTGGTAACCCATTAATACATGAATGGATTAACTCATTCATGAGGACAGAACCCTCCTGACCCAATTACCTCCCAAAGTTCCTGGCTCTCAAATACCAATAACATATAACTTTAAGGATTAAGTTTGTAATGCCTGAAATTCAGAGGATACATTAAAACCATAGCAATTGTGGAGTGAATTAAGTAGATAGTCATAGAAGCTGATTTAGGCCAGAGTACAGACATAGTGAGATGTTATGTAAAGGAGAAATTAATTAATATTTGGAAAATGATACTGTATTTTTTCTATTACAGGAAATGTAAGACTGTTGGAACAGATTTTGAATAATAATGATTCTTTGATAAAGAAAAATGAATTGTTAGACATAACCTCACTAACTAGGCCGACAATGGAATGGAAACTTGAGAAAAAAAACAGGTAAAAATAAGAAATTGGAATGCAAACTAAACTAGAAAGAGTTTTGTTCATATTTCTAAAGTTTATTTAAGAATATTAATAAATTATTTTTAAAAATTATCTTCAATTTAGATACTATTTTCTGATTCTAATGTATCTTTCTCTTTTTCTATAACATAGTAGGACAGGGAATGGGTTGTGAGTATAGAAGAAATGAGGACAGCTATGAGAATGATGTGTTTGATGTTGTTAGAGAAGGGACATATAAAGTGTCATTGTACTATTTTTACTTTTGTATATGTTTGAAATTTTATGTAAGAAAGATTTTTTTAAAAAATCAAGTAAATCTTGGCCATAATTATATTTCCCTTCTATATCATGAAAACTACAGTAATAAAAATTTAAAAGAGCCACAACTGGAGTATTTTTATGTAAATATATTGTACAATTTTAATTTATTTACATTTAATGCACTTATTGCTAAGATATTTATGCTTGCCATATTGCTATGTATTTTCAACATGTTTCAGATCTTTTATTCCACCACTCTTCCATTAGTGCTTTCTTTTAATTAAATAGATATTTTCTAGTGTACTATTTTAATTCCTTTGTTTCCTTTACTACATTTTTATAGTAATGTATAGTATTTATTGGTTATATAGGAATTAAAATTGACATATTAGTTTAAAACAAACTAGTTCAGATTAATATCAATTTAATTTCAGTAGTATTAAAATTTTTCTCCAATGTCTCTCTTCCCTCCCCCTTTTTTCCACTATTGTCAAATTATATTTTGATCAATTATAAGCCCTTCTATACAGCTTGATAACTTAAAATTTATACAGCTGTTTTTTGAATCAGAAGAGCATTACAAAAATAGATGTTATTTTTTATGTACGTATATAATTGACCTTTATTTGTACCCTTTGTTTCTTCTTATTGATTCATGCTAGAATCTAATGTCTTTTCATTCTAAAGGATTTTCTTCAGTATTTCTTGTAGGTTGGGTCTTTTTTTAAAAAAATATATTTTTAGTTGTAGATGGACACAACACCTTTATTTTTATGTGGTACTCATCTCGCATGTGTGCCTTCCACATTCGAGATGAGCACTCTACCACTGAGCCAAAATCCCAGCCCCGCAGGTTGGGTCTTCTAGCATTGAATTCTCTGTTTTTGTTTATATGGGATTGTTTTTAGTTTCTCCTTCAATTATTCTTGTTTGTTTGTTTGAACATAAATTTATTTTCTCACATTTGTGGAGGCTAAAATCTAAAATCAAATTGCCAATTAGGGCTGATTTCTTCTGAGACTTCTTTCCTCAGTTTGTAGATGGACTCCCTCTTTTGTTTCTTCTCGTGGTCAACCCTCTGTGTACACAATGCATGCCTCTATTATTTTCTCTTTCACTTTTGAAGGATAGTTTTGCTAGTTATAGAATTTTTGGTTGGCATTTTTTTTTTCTTTCAATACTTTAAAGTATCATCTTACTTCCTCTGGACTCTTATATAAAGACTGATTAAAAGCCAGGTGTTAATCTTTTTGAGGATCTTTTGTAATATGATGAGTCACTTTTCTTTTGATGCTGTTCAGATTTTCTCTTTGCTTGGGATTTTGGACAGTTTCCCAATGATGTATTCAAGTATGGATATTTTTTAGTTTATCCTATTTGAAGTTTGTTGAGCTTTTTAGATGAGTAGATTAATTTTCATTATGTTTGGAACATTTTGGCCATCATTTGTTTCTTTTCTTTTTTTCCTTTTTTCTTTCTGTTTTGATGATAATAATTTAGATACTGTTTTCTGATTCTATTATTGTTTTGCTAGCCAAGGAGAAACACAGGGACTCCTGTCCCAGAGTTGGTGATTTTTGGACCATCATTTCATTGTATATTAAATAGTATCAATGATATATGTGATGATATGCTTGATGGTATTCCATAGGTCTCTGAGGCTCTGTAAATTGAAATTTTCAATTACAGAATTTATATTTGTGTTTTTTTTCTTTTTGGCAAGACTTCATTCTTAAATTTAACTTTAATTTTTTGAATAGGTTTCTTTAGTAATAGCTGATTTGTAATCTTTACCTAGTTAGTATAATATCTGGGATTTCATAAGGACAGTTCTACTGACTGTCCTTTTCCCTGTGTTTGTGCTTTTTTTTTTTTTAAATTTCTTTATGTGTATCAAAACTTTTGTTGAAAACTGGACATTTTAAATAATACAGTAAGGCAACACTAGAAGTCAGTGTTGTTTTGCTATACTGGGAATTGTTGTTCATACAGCTGGTTATTTAGTTACTTTCCTGGACTAATTCTATAAAGTCTGTATTCTTTGTCATATGTACCCACTGAAGTCTCTGTTTTGTGAACTTAGTCTGCCACTGATTGGAAACAAATTTACTTATCTTGATAGTTCAAGATAAGTAAATTTGTAAATAAGTAAATACGTCTCTTTATTTTCATGAATGTACATGTGCATTTATTTTTTATAAATCTGTCTTAGCCTTTACTTCCTACTCGCAGACAGCCTCAAAAGCAGTCAGATGTGAGAGAGTTGGACCTTCTTTGGTCTTTTGGGGTGTGTATATAGCCCCATATATGTGTACTATCTTCAATATCCCCAGGAATATGGTAGAGCTTACTCGAACTCCACTATGGATGTCTCATTCCTCAGTTTTTTGAAGTTCATTGTCCACAGTCTTGTTTGCCTCAACTTATATCAGTATCTCAGGCAGCTGAGATTTTAACAATTTCTACTTTTAAAAAATGCTATAAGGATAGAGTTTCTTACTGAGCTCCTGAGTTAGGTCAAATAAAGCCAAACTCAATGAAGGAGATTTTTAGAGGACCTCCAAACCTGTTATACCCTTTTAAGTTGTTGTAAGGCCATAGTTTTCAAGTCTACCACAGAGTTGAGGAAAAGGTCCTGATAATGAAATAAGTTAAAGTTATACCATAAAGTTTACTGATCTTTACTAAGAATCAGCCATTTATTTCTTGCAATAAATGATCCTCGGGTTGTTGTAAGCCTTTCTTTAATTTTCAAAGTTCTGAAATAAAATTGACTTTAAAAAAAATATTTTTCTGTTGTTGATGACCTTTATTTTTATTTATATGTGGTACTGAGAATTGAACCCAGTGCTTCACACATGTGAGGCAAGTGCTCTACCACTGAGCTACAACCCTAGTCCCTAAAATTGATTTTGATGTTAGTGTTCTTGTTGCTTTTATGGAAGAGTGACTTTTTAGAGTTCTTTCTCCCCTGTCTGGAAATATTTCTGAATATTAGTTTCTTGAGAGTAAAACCCTTTTCTGCTCTTTTCCTATGATACCTAAACATTTCTGGTAAGATTAATTTTGTCTCTTATGACTTTTTGTGTTTCATATATTTATCACATAACTGGTTAATTACATGATACAGTTTGGTAGGCTACCATTTATTAAAGTATACCTAAGAATGTACCAAAAGTTCATGTAATCAGTTGTTTACTGAATTGATGAGAACTTGGGAAACTTTTCTTCTAGCATTGGAACTCTTCCTTCTCAAAGATTTCCATCCTATGAAGATCTAGGCACATCTAAAGTGACTATGCAGAAGTCTAATGATGTTCTTCATGATCATGGCCAAAAGAAGAAAGAAACAAATGACATGCTCCAGGTAAAGTGGGAATAGTGTTAAAATTGATGATTAGCAAGGTAAAAATTGTGAAGGAATAAAAAAGTTCTAAAGACAAATCAGGAGGAAGGATGAAGATAAAGGTCTGAAAAAAACAAAAACATGGCAGCCAAGTCTATTCCCTTTAAACATGTTTTCAGAGGCCTTCACCAGTGATTTTTACTTACTATTTGTCCAGACAGAGCCACATGGTTATCTGTGGCTTTCCAACTTCTGTTGGAGAGGGAGAAAAGGAGAAAGAGAGCTGTGAATGGCTCTTGTTTTTCTAGTCCACAGTGTCTTCTATATCACCCTACAGCCAACTTGCTCTTATTTTGTTTAGCTGTCTTCAGCAATAGAACTGTCATTGGCTTCTGGACTGCCTAGCATTGCTATGGATATCCCATCTCTGTTTGACACTGACATTTGTATTCCTAAATGGGAAAAAATTGGTGCCGTATATGCTCTTGTACCTCTTCAGTTTGACAGATTGAGTCTGAAGAACATGTTGGCATGGTTTATGGCCCCAACAGTAGTAATAGATCTTATTTGGATTAAAGTAATCAATGTAAGTTTAACATGGTAATTTTTTTCCCTTTTTTCTTTTAAGCAGAAAGACTTGCCAATTATGATGAGGCTTGCTGATCTTCCACAGAATTCTGTTAAGCTTCAAACAGCCAATACAACAAGATCTGTATTGAAAGATGCTGCGAAGATTTTGAGAGGAGTACAAAACAATAAAAAAGTACTTGAAGAAAACCTAGAAGCCATTATTCGTGCAAAAGATGGAGCTGCTATGTACTCATTTATCAATGCTTTATCCACAAATAGGTGAGGCAGGATATTTGCATCCCAAAGATACTTGTGAAGCTTCCAGTTCTGCTCCATAAGTTTTTTCTAAGCATGTCACTTAATGTGTTTTGATATTTAGAAGTAGTTCCTTAATGCCTTTGAAGATATAGAACTTATTATAATGTTGGAATTTGGATATATACATGATAGGGATACTTTTTAAAAAATTTATTTGTTTAATTTATTATACATGACAGCAGAATGCATTTAAATTCTTAGTACACAGAGCACAATTTTTCATGTCTCTGGTTGTACACAAAGTAGAGTCATATCATTCATGTCTTCATACATGTAGTTAGGGTAATGATGTCCATCTCAATCCACAATCTTTCCCACCCCATACCCCCTCCCTCCCTTCACCTTTGCCCTATCTAAAGTTCCTCCATTCCTCCCATGCTCACCCGACCCCCAGTATGAATAAGCATCAACATATCAGAGAATACATTCGGCCTTTGGCTTAGCATGATATTCTCCAACTCCATCCATTTACCTGCAAATGTCATGATTTTATTCTCTTTTATTGCTGAGTAATATTCCACTGTGTATATATATCACAGTTTCTTTATCCATTCATCTCTTGAAGGGCATCTAGGTTGCTTCCACAGTTTAGCTATTGTGAATTGTGCTACTATAAACACTGATGTAGCTGTGTCACTGTTTTTAAGTCTTTTGGGTATAAACCGAGGAGTGGGACAGCTGGGTCAAATGGTGGTTCCATTTCAAGTTTTCCAAGGAATCTTCATACTGCTTTCCATATTGGTTGTACCAATATGCAGTTCCACCAGCAATGTATGAGTGTGCCTTTTTCCGAACAGCCTCCCCAGCTCTTATTGTATATGACAGCAGAATGCATTACAGTTCCTATTACACATATAGAGCACGATTTTTCATATCTCTGATTGTATACAAAGTATATTCACACCATTCGTGTCTTCATACATGTACTTAGGGTAATGATGTCCAACTCATTTCACTGTCTTTCCTACCCTCTCCCTTTCCTGTCTGCTCCCTTCCCCTCCCATCCCTTTGCCCTATCTAGAGTTTATCTAATCCTTGCTTGTTCCCCCTCCCAACCCTGCTATGAATCAGCCTGCTTGTATGAGAGAAAACATTTGGCATTTGTTTTTTTGGAATTGGCTAACTTCATTTAGCATTATATTCTCCAACTCCATCCATTTACCTGCAAATGTCATGATTTTATTCTCTTTTATTGCTGAGTAATATTCTGTTGTGTATATATACCACAGTTTCTTTATCCATTCAGCTGCTGATGGGCATCTAGGTCCACAGTTTAGCTATTGTAACTTGTGCTTCAATAAACACTGATGTGGCTGTGTCCCTTTAGTGTGCTGTTTTTAAGTCCTTTGAGTATACACTGAGGAGTAGGACTGCTGGGTCAAAAGGTAGTTCCATTCCAAGTTTTCCAAGGAATCTCCATACTGCTTTCCATATTGGCTGTACCATTTTGCAGTCTCACCAGCAACATATGAGTGTGCCTTTTTCCCCACATCCTCGCCAACACTTATTGTTGTTTGTATTCTTAATAGCTGCCATTCTGATTGGAGTGAGATAAAAGAGAGTAGTTTTGATTTGCATTTCTCTAATAGCTAGAGATGTTGAACCTTTTTTTATATATTTGTTGATTGATTTTATATCACCTTCTGAGAAATGTATGTTCACTTCCTTGGCCCATTTATTGATTGGGTTATTTGTTTTTTTTTTGGTATTAAGTTTTTTGTGTTCTCTATAATATCCCAGAGATTAGAGCTGTATCTGATGTGCATATGGTAAAAATTTGCTCCCAAGCTGTAGGCTCTCTCTTCACCTCCCTGATTGTTTCTTTTGCTGAGAAGAAGCTTTTCAGTTTGAATCCATCCCACTTGTTGATTCTTGATTTTTATTTCTGATGCTATAGGAGTCTTGTTAAGGAAGTCGGGGCCTAATCTGACATGTTGAAGATTTGGGCCTCCTTTGTCTTCTATTAGGTGCAGGATCTCCAAGATAATTCCTAGGTCCTTGATCCACTTTGAGTTGAGTTTTGTGCATGGTGAGAGATAGAGGTTTAATTTCATTTTGTTGCATATGTATTTCCAGTTTTCCCAACACCATTTGTTGGAGAGGCTATCTTTTCTCCAATGTATGTTTTTGATGCCTTTGTCTAGTATGAGATAACTGTATTTATGTGGGTTTGTCTCTGGGTTCTCTATTCTCTACCATTGGTCTACCAGTTTATTTTGGTGCCAATACCATGCTGTTTTTATTATTATTGCTGTGTAGTGTAGTTTAAGGTCTGGTATAGTGAGTGATGCCACTTGCTTCACTCTTCCTGCTAAGGATTGCTTTGGCTATTCTGGATCTCATATTTTTCCAGATGAATTTCATGATTGTTTTTTCTATTTCTATGAGGAATATCATTGGGATTTTGATTAGAATTCCATTAAATCTGTATAGTGCTTTTGGTAGTGTGGTCATCGTGACAAGATTAATTCTGCGTATCTAGGCACAAGGAAGATCTTTCCATCTTCTGAAGTTTTCTTCAATTTCTTTAGCGTTCTGTAGTTTTCATTGTAGAGGTCTTTCACCTTTTTTTGTTAGGTTTATTCCCAAGTTTTTTTTTTTTTTTTTTTTTTGAGGCTACTGTAAATGGGGATAGTTTTCCTAGTTTTTCTTTCAGAGGATTTGTCACTGATACACAGAAATGCCTTTGATTTATGCGTATTGATTTTATATCCTGCTACTTTGCTGAATTCATTTATTATTTCTTGAAGTTTTCTGGTGGAACTTTTTGGGTCTTCTAGGTATAGAATCATATTGTCAGCAAGTAGTGCTAATTTGAGTTCTTCTTTTCCTATGTGTATCCCTTTAATTTATTTTGCTCTGGCCAGTGTTTCAAGAAGTAGGAATAGAAGTGGTGAAAGAGGGTATCCCTGTCTTGTTCCAATTTTTAGAGGGAATGCTATAAATTTTTTTCCATTTAGAATGATGTTGGCCTGGGGCTTAGCATAGATAGCTTTTATAATGTTGAGCTATGTCCCAGTTATTCCTAGTTTTTCTAGTGTTTTGAACATGAAGGGATGCTGTATTTTGTTGAATGCTTTTTCTGCATCTATTGAGATGATTATATGATTCTTATCTTTAAGTCTATTGATGTAATGAATTACATGAATTGATTTCCATATGTTGAACCAACCTTGCATCCCTGGGATGAACTCCACTTGATTGTGTTGCACTATGTTTTTGATATGTTTTTGTATTTGATTTGCCAGAATTTTATTGAGAATTTTTGCATCTATGTTCATGAGAGATATTGGTCTGAAGTTTTTTTCCTTTAATGTGTGTTTGCCTGGTTTTGGAATCAGGGTGACATTGGCCTCATAGAATGTGTTTGGAAGTACTCCCTCTTTTTCTGCTTCCTGAAATAAATTGAAGAGTATTGGTATTAGTTCTTCTTTAAAGATGTTGTAGAACTTGGCTGTGTATCTATTTGGTTCTGGGCTTTTCTTGGTTAGTAGGCTTCTGATGGGATCTTCTATTTTATTACTTGAAATCGATCTGTTTAAATTGTGTGTGTATATTATCCTGATTCAATTTGGGCAAATCATGAGACTCTAGAAATTTGTCAGTGCCTTCGATATTTTCTATTTTATTGGAGTACAAGTTTTCAAAATAATTTCTAAGTATCTTCTGTATTTTTGTAGTGTCTGTTGTGATATTTCCTTTTTCATCACATGCTAGTAATTTGAGTTTTCTCTCTCATTAGCATGACTAGGATCTGTCAATTTTATTTATTTTTTCAAAGAATCAACTTTTTGTTTTGTCAGTTTTTTTCAATTGTTTCTTTTGTTTCAGTTTTATTGATTTCAGCTTTGATTTTAAGTATTTCCTGTCTTCTACTGCTTTTGGTATTGATTTGTTCTTTTTCTAGTGCTCTGAGATGTAATGTTAGATCATTTATTTTTTGACATTTTCTTCTTTTAAGGAATGAACTCCATGCAATGAACTTTCCTCTTAGTACTAAATATCTACAAAGTGTCCCAGAGATTTTGATGCGTTGTTATCTGTGTTCCCATTCACCTGAGAATCTCTTAATCTCCTCCTTGATGTCTTTTGTAACCCATTGTTCATTAGTCTCCAGGTGTTGGAGTAGCTTTTATTTTTTATCTTATCATTGATTTCTAATTTCATCCCATTATGATCTGACTGAATGCATGTTAGTATCTCTACTTTTTTGTATTTGTTAAGAGTTGCTTTGTGGCATAATATATGATCTATTTTAGAGAAGGATCCATGTGCTGCTGAGAAAAAAGTGTATTCACTTGTTGATGGATGAAATATTCTATATATGTATATTAAGTCTAAGTTATTGATTGTATTATTGAGTTCTACAGTTTCTTTGTTTAGATTTGTTTGGATGATCTTTCTGTTGGTGAAAGAGGTGTGTTAATGTCACCCAGAATTATAGTGTTGTGGTCTCTTTGACTCTTGAACTTGAGGAGAGTTTCTTTGATGAATGTAGATGCTCCATTCTTTGGGGCATACATATTTATTCTTGTTATGTCTTGTTAGTGTATGGTTCCTTTGAGCAGTATGTAATATCCTTCTTTATCCCTTTGATTAACTTTTGCTTGAGGTCTACTTTATTTGATATGAAGATGGAAACCCTTGCTTGTTACCGTAGTCCATATGAGTGGCATGTTTCTTCCTAACCTTTCACCTTCAGTCTGTGGATGTCTTTTTCTATGAGATGAGTCTCTTGAAGGCAGTATATTGTTGGGTCTTTTTAAAAATCCAATCTGCCAGTCTATGTGTTTTGATTGATGAGTTTAGGCCATTAATATTCAGGGTTATTATTAAAACATGATTTGTATTCCTGCTTAATTTTTTAAATTTTTGATATTTAACTTGACTTGGTTTCTTCTTTGATTGTTTTTCTTTTAGTATAGTATCTCCCTCTGCTGATTTTCATCATTCTTTTTTATTTCCTCCTCATGGAATATTTTGCTGAGTATTTTTCTGTAGTTTAGTCTTTCTAGTTGTAAATTCATTTAACTTTTGTTCTTCTTGGAAAGTTTTTATTTTATCATCAAATCCAGCTAATATCCAGCTTAATTTTGCTGGATATAAGATTTTTGGTTGGCATCCATTTTCTTTCAGAGCTTGGTATATGTTATTTCAGGATTTTCTAGCTTTCAGGGTATGAATTGAGAAATCTGCAGAGATTCTTATTGGTTTGCCCTTATATGTAATCTGATTCCTTTTTCTAATGGCTTTTAATATTCTCTCCTTATTCTCTGTTTTCATTATAATGTGCCTTGTTGTAGATCTGTTGTGATTTTGTACATTTTATGTCTTGTAAGTCTCTTATATTTGACTTTCCAATACATTCTTCATACTTGGAAATTTTTCTGATATTATTTCATTGAATAGATTGTTAATTCCTCTGGTTTGTAACTCTATGCTTTCCTGTATCCTTAAATTTGGTATGAATTCTTTTTTTTTTTTTTTTAGTTTTCGGTGGGCACAACATCTTTATTTTATTTTTTTTATGTGGTGCTGAGGATCGAACCTAGCGCCCCGCGCATGCCTGACGAGCGCGCTACCGCTTGAGCCACATCCCCAGCCCATGGTATGAATTCTTGAATGTTCTGTTCAAGATTTCTCATCATCTTCACTGTGTGGTCAACTTTATTTTGAAGATTATATATTTTGTCTTCAGTCTCTGAGGTTCTGTCTTTCAAGTGATCTAATCTGTTGGGGTTCTTCCTATTGAGTGTTTTTTTAAAATATTTTTTTCATTGTAGATGGACATAACACTTTTATTTTATTTGTTGTATGTGGGACTGGGCATCAAATCCAGCTTCATGCATACTAGGCAAGCGCTGTACCACTGAATCACAACCTCCGACCCTCTATTGAGTTTTCAATTTGGTTTATTGTTTTCTTCATTTCAAGGATTTGTTTTTTCTTTTTTTGTTTCCCCTAGAATCTCTATCTCCTTATTGAAGTAAGCTTTTGCTTCCTGTATTTTTTTATGTAGCTCTTTATCGAAATGATCTTTTGTTGCCTGTATTTGATCTCTTATATCATTTTTTAATTCATAGAACATTTAAATTATGTACATCCTAAACTCCTTCTCTGTCATTTCTTCTGCTGTGCTGACCATGGATTCTAATAATAGTTTAGAATAATAATTGGTTTGTTTGGGGCACTTTCTTTCCTGGTTTTTTCATGTTCATGTATCTTCCCTTCTACCACTGTGGATCTAAGGTATTACGTTTTTACCCTACAGACTTATCTCGTTCCTGCAGGATTCCAATGCCTCTCCTTGATATTGCTTCTAGGCCCCAGCCAGTGTCCCAAGCTGGGAGTTATCTCAACTAAAGATGGTGACAAAGGCATCTCAAGATGGAGGTGGCCGCTTTCAGATAGGGTTTTAGGTCAGGTTGGGCTGGGGTGATGACATTGGATGACATGTTCAGAGATGCAACTCTGTAGAGTGCAGTGTTGTAGCTGGCAGCTGTCTCCAGACCCTGTCCAGTACCCCAGGTGCAAGCTACAGTGTGTAGGGGACTATGGCAGTGGTTGCAGTGTCCCAAGGTAGAAGTGACTGGAGGAGTCCTATGTAGGTAGATGGGGGTCCCCACAGGACTGGCAGCCGGAGGTCCTGCACGTGGCCCCCAGGTTTCCTGTGTGGGAGTGGTGGCTATGATTCCTGTGTGGAAGAGCAGCTGGAAGTTCTCTAATAACTAGCAGAGAAACAGTATTGCCACTACTTGAATCCCAGGGCATGGAGTGACACAGAATGCATCCACCCTCTAGCCCGCCATCTTGGATCCAGTAATACTTTTTATTGATAGAAAATTTCCCTCTATCATTGGAACACATCTTTTTTACTTCTTTTCAAACATTTGTCCTTCAAACATTTAATGAAAACTAAATACCATTCGTTTTTCCTTTTCAGATAAAAGAGATTGAGCTACACAGTAGATTTAGAACTAGTTAAGAATGATATTTGATTTAGGTACTGTTCTCAGGGCATTAAGTATTAATTTAAGAAAATTCCTTTTTCTCTTTTTTAGAGAGATATCAGAGAAAATTAGGATCAAAAAGATAGTAGATGAGTGGATTAAAACTATTTCAGCAGAAATTCAGGTATGTTTTGGTAAAATTTAAAATTAAGTTGAATTTTCAGAATGTAGCATTAATTCCAGTTTATAATACTTGTTCTCAAAATATTCTTTACATCTGAGTTCACTGAAAATTCTTTATTTCCCTTTATCACTGTATTTACTTAGAAGTGATAATTTTGTTTTTTTATTTTATTTAATTTTTTTGTAGTTGTAGATGGACAGAATGTCCTTATTTTATTTGTTTATTTTTATATGGTGCTGAAGATTGAACCCAGTGCCTCATGCATGCTAGGAAAGCACTCCTACCACTGAGCTACAGCCCCAGTCAGGGATAGTTTTATTTAACAAATGTTTTATCTTAAAAATTATACTGTGACTCTTAACTGGAAAATTGTTGGTCAGAAATATGAGTAACTTGATAAAAAATTTAACAAAAGCATTTAGAAAAGATTTATATTTGCAAAGATGTTTTCAAGTCAGCATATTTAGAAGCGTTGGCTCACTATCATAAAAATAGCAAAGTTACTTAAAAGGGACAGTTTTTTCCAATTTCCAAGATGACTAAGTGTACAGAAGTCACTTCCAGATAGAAAAACAGTACCTTCTCATATCCACAGAGGGCATGGTATATCTTTAGTGTCAGCATTGAAAAGTCTGGACGTCATTTTTATTGGGGGCCAGTAATAGGAAATTATTTAAGTTTTATATATATTAGGAAGAGCAGAACAAGACAGAATATTCTGGGTTTTTTTTGTTTGTTTCATTATGTTTTTATCTTGGAGGGCAAGGTGGTTTTTTCCTGACTGTAAGAAGTACTTACGTGCTTACCTATAGTGGTAAGAAGGTAAAGTGTCAGTCCGTTTTTAGAGCAATAAATATGGAAATACATTTTTAAACTTTCTTATGTTGAAGTATATATCTCTAATATAGTTATGAAGGATTTATATTTACATTATATTTATATGATGCCTCAGAAAAAAAGTCGAAAGATTCAGAATCTAGTTCTGGCTTTGTAGCCAACTGACAATATATATTCCTCTATTGCTATGAATTCTGTGCAAAATATTTATCTTAGTTTTATTATAAATTAAATTTACTAAATTCCTATGGTTCAAACATCAAAAAGAATAAAGTTGCTGGGTGCAGTGTCACACTCCTGTAATCCCAGTGACTTGGGAGAACTGAGCAGGAGGATCACAAGTTGGAGAGCAGCCTCAGCAACTTAGCGAGGCTCTAAGCAATTTAGCAAGATCCTGTCTCAAAATAAAAAATACAAAGGGATGTGGATGCAGGTCATTGGTAAAGCACCCCTAGGTTCAATCCCCAGTACAAAAAAAAGAATGAAGTTTGTAATGAAAATTTACCCTTCTATCCCTATATCTCATTCCCCTTGCTCCATAAAATACTAGTCATTTTAATTTTTTGTTTATTCTTCCAGAGATTTTTTTTAAAATTCATGTGTAAGCCAGTATTCTTTCTTTTAAAAGCATTTTAAACTGGTAAACTATATAACAGCAAACAATTTCTGGTGTGAGAGCATTACTATTTTTGTAGGTTTAAGTAATTTTAATTTTGTTTACCTTAGGATGAATTGGCAAGAAAAGATTATGAAAAAAAGAGATCTGATCTTAAGAATCAAAGGACCAAGAAAGCTCAGAATATGAGTAAAGATACTAAAACCAACACAAAAGACAAAACTGTGAACAGGCCTATAATTCCAAGACAGCATTCTCAAAAACAAATAGAGGAACATTTTAGAAGTCCACCTATGAGGAGAAGCATGCCTGCTTCAGCTGTACAGAAAGAAAGAAAAGAAGTAAGATCCTAATCTGGTTTTGTGACATAAATGCTGCATTATAATTATTTCCTTTAAAATATATATAAAGAATTTATGAATAATGAATTAAACATGAAGATGTTTTTAAAATACAAAGCACCATACAAGTGTAAACTATCTTTACACTATCAACATTTAAGGTTTTGAATTCATAAAGTGGAAGGTGTTATACAAAAGCTGCTTATTGTTCCTTCCTTTTCAGATGTCGTACTTACTTTTTAAATATTTTTTAAAAGGTAGGTTTTGCTGTGTTACCTATACTGACACCAGACTCCTGAGCTCAAGTTGTCCTTCCTTGGCTTCTGAGTAGCTGGGACTACAAGCCCATGCAACCACACCCAGCTTTTCAGATCTCAGAATCTTAGCATTAAAGTCATGGCAGGTTTACCTAGAGATCATCTAGCTCCCAAACCAGATGATATCAAAAGTGTGTTTCATCTTTGTGTTTGTGTGGTTTGTTTTTAAATTTACTTTTTGTGCTTGGTGAGTACAAGTCATGGTAATAGATGTTGTAATGGGAATTTTTGTGTGTGCTCTAACTAGGCTTTAATTTTCTTAAAGTCAAATGTAGTTTGTTGGGCAGATCAGCAAAGCATCTAGTTCTTGCCACTTAGTAAATGTTGGATAAATGCTGCCTTTCTGTGGCATTTAGATATGGTTGAAAGTGGGGTCAGGGATGTATGAAGACTAGGTTTGTTGTATTTTATTGTACTGGTATATATATTGAATATAACAAATATGTAAAATGTATTTAAACATTTATTTTTGGTGCTGAAGATATATTAGTTATGTAAGAATTTTTGTGTTTCTGAGGTAGATGAAATGTGTATTTAAATTTTGTGCTTTTTAAACGTGCATTTGAAAATTTCATCCAGAGTTTAAGAGCTATTTAAAATACAGGATTTTTCTGACCTGTATTCTTATTATAGGGCTTGAGCTAGCAAAAGGAGGCTCTAGAAAATTGAGGCGTTTGATGTCTACTTTTTTCTGACTTTAATAATTTTATATTCATAGGGGCATTTAAAATCAACCACAGTGATACAAGATGATGATTATATGTTACAAATATATGGAAAACCTGTTTATCAGGGTCATCGTAGCACTCTTAAAAAAGGACCATATCTCAGATTTAATTCTCCATCTCCTAAGTCCAAACCACAGAGACCAAAAGTAATAGAACGAGTTAAAGGTAAGGAGCCCTCATTTTTTTAAATCTTTTTTTTTATGGTATCAGTTTAATATGTCATTTCCTTTTGCTTGCTTTTTGTTTCTTATAAATATAATTCAAATTATTTAATGCTCAAAAGGGTCTACAAAGAAACTACTAGAACTAATAAATGAATTCAGCAAAGTGGCAGGATATAAAATCAACACACATAAATCAAAGGCATTTCTGTATATCAGCGACAAAACCTCTGAAACGGAAATGAGGAAAACTACCCCATTCACAATATCCTCCAAAAAAATAAAA